GTCTCCCTCGCGCTCCTTTCCTCCTGAAGTGACTCTCCTCCCCTGTTCTCCACCCGACCCCCTCTCCCTCCTCCCCCACAGGGCCCTGTGCCTCCCGCTGACCCCTCCAAGGTGAAGGCGGCTGCCTCGGAAAAGAAGAAGCAGGAGTCACGCAAGGATAAGAAATAGGATACGGGGAGGGGCTGGGGCGGCCTCGCCAATCGGCTACTCCAGCCCGTGCGCCAGGCGGCGGCGAAGGCCCGGTCCAATCAGCAGCAGCGAACCATATTCAGAAAGACAGAGAGGGTTGTGGGGGGAGGGGAGGAGGGCCCGGGCCGGGTGCTGATGACCATCGAGCTGGAACTGACCCGCAAAAACGGGGAGGAGGGGCCCAGCGGCGAGGGAGGGATGGGGAGGTCCAAAAGTCACGGCTTTCTATCCCGTCTCGCCAACCAGCTCACTTTCAAATAATACACCTAAAGGGAGGCAGGGGAGGCCGAGGGGGGAGGAAGCTCTTGCGGTTAGGAGAGTGGGAAGTCTACTGAGGAGACGGCAGGAGAGTCAAACCACAAACCTACTTTACGCCCACCACAATGCCAACCTGAGTCCCCGAATAAATGAGTCAAATCATATCTGCTCCTGTCACAGGCCGATGACTGTAGACGCCGCCGCTGCACGGGCCAGGATCTGCGATGGCGTGATAATCTCTTACACCAGCCGTCACCACAAGTGCTTTTGTCAGGTCGTAAGATATGCCGTTTGGAGCGAGACCTTAAGATGGCTGGGTTTGATAGCAAAACCTAAAAAAGCTGCTTGCCGGGTTTTGCCTTTCTGGTTCCTTTCATTGTGATCCTATCCGCCAAAACAAGCTTTCTCCAAGTGCGTCCGATACGCATCACGGGTCCTCAGCTTCAGGGACAAGCCAATTTGCCTTTTTTTCCCGACGTGACATGTCAAACTCCCCTCACACTGATCTCCCTCCTCTTTCCTCTCCTCTTATTTCTCTTTCCCCCTCTTCCACTGTGAATTTCTTGACTTTCTTGTTCATTTAAATTACAGAGGTGATTTATATGCTAACTGCTCTATCCTGTTTCTCTTCTTCTCTCACTTCCCTTCCCTCTTCTCCCTCTTCTCCTCCTTTTCTCTCTCCTATAGATAAAGGTCTGACTTCTCCATGACTGCCTCCGCTCCTCTAGTCTGCTCCCTTCTTTTTCTGCCCAGCCCGACGCAGCCCCCATTATTTCCCATTATCTCTTCTCTTTCAAGACAGCGCTGGCTGTAAGAGCGGTCCTACTATATCAGTGGCAACGGTGTCAAATAATTTTTACAACGCCTCATCAGAGACCCCCGTACGCACTCATTGGGCAAATTGTAAAACTTTTTAAGGCCTAACTATGCACATAACTTTCCTAAGAGGAACCCGAAAGACATCCCTCTGTGTTTAGAGTCCCCTGAATCTTCCCCCTTCATGTTTACGACTCCGTCACACACTCTGAGCGGAGCCGTGAGTGCACTCCGGACTTCAGATGGAGAAAAACAGAGAGGCAGAGGAGAGTGATAGCGAGGGGAGAAATATGATTCCTGCTCTCAGCCGGCGTAGATAGAGGTTCAAGCCCTCGAGCTCGGGGTGATTCAATCCTCTCACATTTGAGCTAATGGAGGTTGTCGCTGTGTCCCTGCCCCGGCTAAAGGGGGCTATTTCTGGCGCTGTGAGAGCGAACAAGCTTACTGTAACAGCTGCACATTTTTCAGCCGACAGGGGAGGGAGGAGGGGGGAGGCGAGAAGAGAAAGAGGCGAGGTGGGCAGGCGGTGTGTGTGTATGGTGGGGGGGGGGTGCCTGCTGTGCTGTGTACGCCCGAGTGCACGAGGCTGTCCGCGGTTGGCTCGACGGCCGGCGACTGACAACCTGAATGACGTCACGGCCCCCGAGGGCTGGCGGATGCTCTCAGGAGTCTGACAGAGGGGCTTACCAGGAAGAGGTGCAGCTCCTGTGCTCCCTCAGTTATTTTAAGGTCCAGTTAATCCGCTCACACGTTTCTCCTCGCCAGCCCAGAGCTAATTATTTTTGTGCGTGCTGGTAACCAGATATCTCTCTCCACATCTCGCTCCCATGCCTCCTCCGCCTGCCTTCGCTCCTCTGTTATTCACTCGTCATCTCGGCCCCCATCTTGGGATTCATCTCCTCCCACCGAACCCGTGTTTCGTTCTCGTCCGTCCTCGCGTCTTCGCCAACCGTTATCTCCTCCTCTTCCTCTCGTCTAGTGACTCTGCACTGCATTATTCCCCCCACAGAAAAGAGGCCTATACAAAATCCACTCCACTCTTTTAAGTCTCTTCTTATCTGAGGCCTACAGCTCAATGCTCTGCTCCTCTCTTCTGTCCTTCCTCCGTCTCCACGCCCCTCTTCCTCTCTTTTTTCAAACTCAGTGATGAACATCTGTCGCCCCCTCTCCGTCTTGCCGGTTGATCGACGAACGCCCTTTGGCTCGCCCTTCAAAAACGCTCCCTCCCCCAAAGGCATGCCCCCTGCCAGCCCTCCCTCCACTGACCCTTTACTGTCTTATTTCTGCTGGTTCGATTGCCAAAACGCTCTCCTCTGCCACCAACTGGCAGAGGAAGGAAACACCTTTAGTTCCTCACTGAAGGCAGAAACTTATAATCTAGCTAGCTCTTCTCCGGTCGCCGATACGACGTGTGTTTTATGTATATGTGTGTTTATTTAAAGCGTGTTAAAAAGACATTTGATATAAAGCAAAAAAAAAAGACAACAGTGCGTCACCCTAAGTAAAGCAAAGTTTTTCCGAGACATTTTTTTTCCCACATGTGTGCGAGGTAACACACGGAGAACATCTTAATCAAGGAAGGGAAGAAATGTAATTGTGTTTCAGCGGAATGTGCAATTATGTTTCTGTGTTACGGACGGTGCTGTGTGGCTGTGTCTTTGGTGCACGGTTCATTCCGAGGTGAATTGAAATCGTTCGGTTCGGCCTCAGATTCAGCGCAACGTGGCTGGGGAGGGAAAGAAAAAAAAAAGGGGGGGGTGGGGGGAGGACGATGCTTGAGAGAGCTGTGGAGGAAGAGACTTATCTGGTGTGTTAAGCCAAGCCCAAAAATCCATATGTATCACTACAGATAGAGTCTGCTCTTCCCCCAGAGCTTTCTTTTAAAGGTGCTCCTTCCCTGAGCCAAAAGATGGATTGCGATCTGCGTGCTTGATATGCAGGGTGGATAGTGTAGACTTGAATGTTTCTTTAAGATTCATAGCAGGAATGGAGGTGCTAAAACCCACATCTCTATAACTGGAGATCTGTTTCACTAGTCGCTGTTTAACTCTCCAGTCAAATGGATTGGTTCGAATGTTTTCTTCTTTTGCAGCAAAGCCACACAGACACCTGACATGAGACGGCGTTAAACTGCCTTTTTAAAATGTTTTGTTTGTATCGTCACAGTCGCACAGTAACATTCCTTTATTTAAAATGGTGGCGCTTCTTACATTTTTTTTAATGCTTGTGGTAATTCCAGAGCACTAACAACATTTGATGACTGTGTATAATATGTTGTAAAGGGAACGTAAATAAAAAATTAAAGCCCCGAGCGCAGCTGTTATCAACAGGAGACAAAATAAACCCAGCTGAAAAATGTCTGCAGCCTCCTTTCTTTCTGTTCCAAGTCCCGACCATTGTGCAAATCTGTCACAAGCGTCTCGGCACTGACGTACTTCCATGAGCCTGTCAAAGGGAGAATTTCTTTGTAAAATGAGATATCCACTATTTGAAATGTCTGAATACGCTGATGGCTGGCATGAAAGTCGAACTCATTATGGAATCGCACCGGCCTTATTATTATGGGAATACATTTGCATACACAATCAGAGTGTTTTAGAGGTTTGAATCTGGAGACTTTAGACGCTGAGCGCTCACCACCAGTTGGTTTTTCTTTTAAATACAAAAGGTGTCCAGTTTTGAAAATTTAAATTTGAAAGATACTTCACCTCATCGTGCACCTTGCTACTCAACTACTAATAATGATCAACCGGAACTAGTGCTCAGGCAGCATTTACGACCTTTTAACATTTTAAAGGGCGACACAGTGAGGTGTAATTTTCACAAAGGCTTAATCTTCCCTGACATAAATGCAGGTGGGGGTTCAGTGAGCACACATAACCTTTCTGAGAAATGCTCCACTTTCATAAGAACTACCACTGGTGCTAAAATCTACACAAAAAGTAACTGGAAGCTGGTGAGAAGACATTTGGTGCCACTCTGACTCAGGATCAGCATCTGTTGTGTAGGCGCCGTGGTGACGACCTGCCTTATGGTATAAATACGGTGGACTTTAGACTAATTGCAGCTCAGAATCCAAGTGTGAGAAAAACAGGAAAACATCGTGTTAGCAGTTCATCGTTGAGGATCAATCAAGGCCGGATTAAAACGGTTTATCACAGGATCATACCTGAGGATTGTGCTCAGGATCCAAGCAGCTGGACGCACTGCTTCCTTTTCACCACAAATCTGGAGGGCCCTCATTATCACGTTTTTTATTTTTTTATAAATACCGCACTGTATGTTATGTAGAGCGCAAAAAATGCAATTGTTGCGTTGACAGTGATTGATGGGTTGTTGTTCTCCGAGGGATAGTGTGTTTGGGGGGGGGGGCTGTGGAGAGGGACATATTGAGCAGGTGCAGGTACACACACACACACACACACACACACACACACACACACACACACACACACACACACACACACACACACACACACACACACACACACACAC